GGAAACAATTAGAAAGAGTGAAGCAACCCAGTGTCAAAAGATAAACCGGTTCTAATACTTAAAAATAGACCACAAAATGCAACTTCTTATTGTATTTTTATCCTATGTTGCTCGAATTTTATGAAATCTCGAAGACTTAATCATTCAGGTAGGTTCACTTGTTTTTTCGCTAGTACCAAAATTCTCAAAAATTAACCAAATTAATTTTAAACATTTCATTCAAGTAAACAAGATTGATTCAGTTGAGTCACAATTTCATCCCTGTTCATTACTGTGATAGTATTTCGTAAGCATTGTTTACAATCAGTTGTTTCATACGACTTTGTCGGTTGGATTCTACAGAAGTAATGAACATCACTCAAAAATCGATAAGCGTGCCGTACACCATAGTTTCAGCAAGAAACATTATAAGTGAAGCTGTAAAGGTCTCAGTTCTATAGTTTGTAGCTCGCTTGCGACTGGAAAGCGTTACGTCTATTAAACTCCGATTTGACCTATGTGTATCTAGCTGACGAGAAACTCATCTGTATCATAAGACTTTAACACCTGCTCTGTTCATTCGTATTTGCCAATAACCCCGACTATTTACTCTTGCAAATGGTATGCTCCCCAAATATGGTCATTTGCTGGCCCATTCAGTTCGAACAACAAGGGTTAATTGTACTATTGATCATCGACGTGAATGAGGTATGCCCCAATCGTTACACTGCAACTAAACCATCATTCGACGAACTGCATCCGCAAAAATTGATTTAAATTTGAATAAAGCTGAAAGGTCGCTGGAGATCGTTGTTTGTGAATGTTGGTTTTTGAAGGTATGAAGAAATACAAGTTTTCACTGACGAATGTGAACTATCATGTTGTTGACTAAAAACACGATATTTGGCGAACATCTATCAAACCTGCATCATCGGACAAAATATTTACTTTCTTTGACAAAAACGACCATCAGCAGTTATTAAGGACAGTTTCACAACTTTTGGGTTGTCTTGAGTTACCAAATTTCCTGAGGCAGAATGGTTAGTAGACCTGATACTCCAGATTTTATATGAAGTAACAACAGTACACACATTACGATATAGGCCAGTCAACATAAGATAGCCATCACCATTGAACGAGCATAGCCGCATTTATGCGTAAGAATTGGCACTGTTTGCCTCTCGAATGAATTTTCGTAGTTGGTTACAACTCTACAGTTTACAACCTGACTGATTTGAGTATGACGGACAACAGGGGATGAAGGATGGCCTAACGGATTAAACAAAACTTAACGTGTTCGGCAAATACCGTCCAGAAGGTTAGTTGAATTTGGTAGATTACATATGCTTCACTGTACCAAAATGGATGCAGTAGTGACCACTCAACTGACAAGGTTTATTTTCTTTGTCCGATTAACAGGTTCACTGTATCACATTGAGTATGAAGTCAGCTATCAGTGTGAATAGAAAAACAGTCACCAGGATTTGAAGACTACACAACTGCTGACATTAGTCTGAAGCAAGATTGTACCTGTCACCCACAAGTGCTTTGGCTGAGAATGTCGGTCCATGATAAATGGACTGAGAATAACATAAAGTTACGAGTATAGTGTTATGCTCTACTTTTCAACCACCTCGGGTGGCCTTACTTTGTTAGTGTGATTTCGATTACAACACTTCTGAGGAAGGCCACTCGAGATGATTGAAAATTAGGGTATTACAACTTGCTCATAACGTTGTGCTATTCTCAATCCATTTGTCTATAACATGTTAAGCACGATACCCAAACTGTTTGAATTCGTTTGTACAACCTAAAAAGATAAATCGCACACATCTAATCCACATTATATTTAATGTAAATGGAGTTAATTGAAAAGCGTTCATTTGGACATTCAACTGATCGTTGTTTTTTTCCAAGAAAACAATTCATGACGAACTACCATTTAGCTGGAATCACCTAATGACATTCATATCAAAAAACCTTATGCGGCCTAAAAAAACGATTGAAACACTTGAAAACCATTTGAATCCATTAAACGTGTATTTGCTTATTAATTCTATTAAGCTGTGCTAGTACCGATATGTGTGGTTCAAAGCTGATGATCAGCTCCGCGGAGTGGTCTTGACTCCAACTTCTTCATCACCAAAGGTGCTTTTGTTCAACACTTTTGCTTCGTCATAAATCAGATTTACTGAGGTGTTGTGAAATGTAGCGCACAATGTCGTTGACATCAATTTGGTGTTGATTACGTATGCAAAATACTTATATTATTCTAATCATATTGGCCTTATTTTGTCCGGATCAACAGAATAAGCAGTTAGTCAAACTGACCATCTTTTAGATGCGTGCTCCCAGTGAACATTCCTATACGCCTCGGATTTCTCATTTTTGGTTAATGTTCCAGTTATATCGTTCTCCAACAAAATTATGGATTTCATTTTTTACCACTTACAGTTTGTGAGTTTCTTCCTGTCAAAAATATTTGTACCATAAACAACTACACTGCTGCTGTTAACAGTTTGGCCAATGTAACACCTTTAGACTACACCCACTTCTGGATCGATGTGGCCTGTAACCATGTGGGTTACAAGCCCACACTCCCGGTTGTAAATCAGTTTCTACCATCTTCACTGGCTTAGTTTGTTACTGTAACGCTGTCGTTCTAGAACCACCATCACATAACAAATAGGTCTTATTGATGACAAAAGTGCGTATCGTGCTGACTACCGGTAAACAATTTTTTAAATTGCAATTCATGTGACAGACAAAATGGTCAAACCAGTATGGTTGCAGGAAAAACCGTACGCAAATTAGTTAGTTTTGTGCTATCAAGTTCAGAGTAAGCTGTGGAGCGAACCCTTAGGCGTAGCGTGTCAAGTTTTCATAGTGCATAATTCTAAAGTGCTCACAACATTCTGTTGTATGGGTTGGTAATCTAATGATGATTCAACTGACTTAAATGGGTTAAAGCTGCTTAACATATGAAAGCCTTCACAATGTATTCGGACGATTATGTGATGGCGTAAAGTGACTTATTGTGATCACCACACAGTTTCGACGATAATACCATTTAACTTGGACAAGAGCACCTATGGGGATTTGACGACTCTCAAGTTGGGTGCATCGTTTAAGTTCATTTTATAGCAAACTTCGTTACTCATATTAAGACTTACTGTACATTTGTAAACGTACATTGGCTAATTAGTCGTTTGCAGAGAATGAATAAGACGATATGCCACTATGATGAGAGACACGAGAAACGCCTTACACGTGATTTTTGATCAATATCGATCGTCTATTCATGTCCGTTCGTGTATGCCGTACTACAAACGAACCGCTATCAATCTGCTTTGTAGGAATGACCATACCATCCACACAACTTTCTGAAGTGTGATTTTGAATCATCAATCCGTCTTCCATAACGAAATCGATCGCCTATTGTTTTCAAACCCACCGTTCATCAGTATACTAATTTCTGTGAAATTTTCTCACGTCGGATAAATGAACCCGGGTTACGTGAAAAGGCAAGATGGAAATGTCGGTCGGATGGGTGACCGGCATTTATCCACTATCCAGTGTCAAATTGTTCTATTCACCCCGAGCGATTAGGTACTCAACCAGTTCAGTGTACAAGTATTCAGCAGTCGTGATGGACACCGTTGGAATTTACATACGACGAGCCTGTTGGATCCGCCTGGTCTGAACTCTCTGGAGTAACTTGTCAGGTCTTTCCTAAGAATATGGATTTGTCCAACGTTAATCCTAAGTACAGAACCGCTGATCATCGAAAATATACGCTCTGAAACTTGGAGAAAATTAGTTGGGTTGTAAGCCACGAGCATATGGACTGTTTAGAGGCAAACTGGTGGGAAATGCCTGCATGGAAAATAATGCAAAATTTCCTGATAAATGCGATTTTAACACCATTCTATTCAGTAACTGCCGTCACCATAATCTTAAAAACAAGATTGAACTTGCCTGTCCCACATAAAAAACTGGTTTGGGTGACCAACGATTCACAATCATAATTCGAGTTTTGCTTGTCATTATGGTCGATTATCAAGTCAGGTTTATTAACTTTGTAATGCTCACTTTGCAACAGTTTGAGAAGTTACCGAAAACTCCCAGTTCATTGTATGTTTCAATCTTGATAGCAGCGTATTAGTAATAACTGGCTCATAATTGTTGTCCGTAAGCGTGTAAAATGCTAGCACTTGACAATTACATGTGAGTTAGTTTTTGTCACCATAATAATTTTCGTATTTTTCTGGAAATCAGGAAGAACAGAGTGCCCAATCTGGGACTTGGAAGTTAGGAGACTTGCGAATGTTTTAGGTTTAAGAATATGGCTATTTTATATATTGCGTCGCTGTAACTTACGTAAAAAGTGACATTGGTGGTGATTATGCCTTTTGCCACCTAAAGATTTTACGCATAATGTTGAAATTTTGTTAAAAACTTCCGGTAGAACTTTTAGATAAAAACTAGTAAGCGCCGAGCCTGCATTGGTATCAGACAGATTGAGGGGCATTTATAATGGCTTGGTTAAATTGGACAAGAAATACAGTATCCATGGTTGTCACGCTGAGCCAACTCGGGCGACTTCTGATGTACATTGTTTAATTTTTTATTGATAGGTTACAAACCTTACAAGGCCTCCCCTGAACTATCACATGAATGATCACCGTATACCGAGCGCTGCAAATAATTAGATAGTAGATGAGACCAGGTTATGAAAAGTCAGGGCTTCGGCTGGATTCGCCCCAGCAACAGAAACATCATGTTTCAACGCGGCAAGCGCTCTACCAGCCGAGCTACGAAGCAACGCCGGGAGCTTGGAAGTTTCACATTTGGATTTGGTTAATTCGTGCTCAGCAGTAGTTTTGGTGGATTTCAAGATTAACTGTTCGGGAAATCCTGTCAGGGCAGTCGATCTCCTGGATCATTTTGTGGATTGTATGACAGGCAGTGAGATGGGTGTGTAACTAAGTCCAGATGTGAAATTTCCGAGCTCCTGGCGCGGCTTCGTGGCTCAGCCCGTAGAGCGCTTGCCGCGTTGAGGCATGATGTTCCGGTCGCTGGTTTGAACCCAGCCGAAACCCTGAATTTTCACAATTAGGTCTCATCTAAAATCAAAAATCTGGCAAACTACTTATTAGTAATAACTGGATAACTAGTTGAGGTAATCAATGCGGATGTCCATGGATAAGTCCTTATCCTAATTTTCGAATGTTTTAATACGCAGCTGGTCCACCTACAGTAACGATTACTTCACCTGTTTGGAACAGCTCCATGATAAGTGTTTTGCCTGCTGACAGTGTCATGCATAGATTCTTAGTTATGACAACTATTCTGCTAGCGTGATCCAAAAAATAGGTGAGGTTATGTCAACGACTATTTCAAGTTACACAGACTATTTCGTGAAATGTTTCAGACTTCCGTATAAAACTGCCTCGGATATGTCATCACCCTGAACAATCCGAACTAGTTTCAGAGTATCTGTTCTAGGTGTAGGTTTTGTTGCTAAAGTTATAGATGAAGTGACCCTATGAGTCCGACGTAATTCTTTCAGTAACCGCCGGCGCAGAAGAAGTGACATGGATCAACATCATTGTACGATTTTGGTAGGCTGAACTTCTCATTGCATCGCTTATCTCAGATTTCTAAACTCCATACCTCATAATCTAATGTCCAGGGTTAGAATCCGTAATTCATCGATTATATTCCTCATTTCTAGTGGATTGCCAACCGTTTTCTTCTTCCTCTATCAGCAGACCGAAGTCTGTTGAGTTGTGCTAGTCAACCAAACTATTAGGATTCATGCGCGGGTGAGATGAGACGCAGTGATTGCATGAATCATTTCACTTTTATAAAAGGTCGTGCAAACCACTATAACAAGGAAGAGTGCTAGCTTTCTCCGTTTACCTGACATGAGTGGTCAGTAAGTCCCTGCATCAGTACAGAAATTCTGAGCGAATTGATTACGTTTCACAGGCCAATGGTTCGTGTAGTTTGAGAGTTGCAAACTGACTGCTTAGTGGTTGGCCATGTGCTTAAAAAAACGAAATGTCCTGGGCAAAATAAAAATGTCTTCCCAAATATAACGACACTGCTGCATACCTTTGTCTTGATCTCACCCAGATTGTCGAGTTTGTAATAGAATATCGAATGCACAGTGGTCGGCATGGTCGATCAACATGCAAGGCAACTGGACTTTATATCCCGACCGTAGAAACAATATGAAGCCCCGATGATCCCGGATAAGTGCAAAATTCAAATTGACAGCTTCTTTTAGAAATAGGTTAGACGAACTGTGAACCCGAATATCATGGCTTTGATCATCAGTGAGTGGTTTTCAAATATCCTGCCGTCTTCATCAGTAAATGTTTTAATATAGGTAGTCTTTGTACGCAAATCTAGTAATAACATTGCGTCATGTGAGGAAGGACCATTTGAGTCAGGCATATGCGTAAAACTGATTCACAGATTAAAGGTCAAGTACAGTGCCGCAAAGCTAATGAATGCTAATGTTGTGGCGTGCAATAGCTATTCGCTTACATTGTCACCTATTGGCTCACCGATAAGGATATTTCGGGAGTTGCAACTATTCTCGGATAGTCAAACAAAACTGTTCAGTTTAGTTATCCAGGGAACCAAAGAGTCCTCAGAAGATCGTAAAAACGAATGTCTTATTTTGAATCCAGAAGCCAACAGAAAAAGTGGGCAGTTCAATCGTTAGAAAAGTCTAAGCTGTTTCAAAATGTAAGTTGATATATATCCGAAACAGATGTCGAAGTGGATGTTGATGAAACATAAACGTATTGCACTGTGGTCGTCCCACTAATAAATCGGTTCAAACGGGATGATCTCGAATTTCAAATAATATCTCGCAAGAGTTAAAATGGAGCTTATACAAAACTGGCTTGGAATAACGTAACTCAAAAGCACAATGCTGTTTCGGTCTACAAACAAGTGTCATGGAATAAGCAAACTTTCGTCCCTGAAGAACAAGCAAGATTCTAAAGACTTTAGTTAACTGTTACTTCATCGTTTGAGCGTAATACCTTTTCATTAAACGTACAGATTTGTGCGAAAGAATCACCTTACCGTAATACGACATAATGTGTAAGTGGTATGAGTTGATTTCCCTTGCAAAAGATGCCGCGTTACTCTAAAGCTTCACTCAGAAAAACAGGTAACAGTTTCAATTTAATTGTGACTTGATCTATAAGATAACGTTCTCTTGAGATCAGATCAGTCAAATCTTTACGAGAACGCAGTGGAAACATCGTTTGTCAAAAGTGCTCCTCATATGAGAACGGTTAAGAATATGTGATTAAGTTCAACATGCTTATTTCTACCTACTTGTTAACTTTTAAAGAAGGCGTCAATTTTCTTCCGACAGCATAAATTTAGACACCTTACTGTATTCTATGGACAGATGAAACTATTCGACAATAAGTTACATTAGTGATATCTATCCTTGCCAGTGTTATGCGTTTAAGGTTTAGTGACATTCCAATTGTGCTGAAAACAAAACAAAAACTGTTAACATCACATTGTTATGCAGAGGTTGATTTATTTTATTATTAATACACCTTGCTCTTCATTTCTTCTCTACTAGACAAATAGGAAAACAGTACGTACGAACAGCGATGAAATTAAACCAGACTATACTGAGTTGACTTGCACGACAGTAGTTTTCACGCTTTCGTTATCTTCCAATTATTCGTGCTACCTTCTAAGAACAGGTGTCTCGTTCCTTCTGAAACACATCCAGGAATCAACCTTGTTTTGACCAGCTGTTGTTAACCTATCAAATTATTTGGAACTCCGAAACAGCACCTGTTCAAAATGACAAAAAAGACAGGGCATGCATGTGTATAAACAATTAAAATATGAGTTATTGCCACACACAAAAACCGTAAAAATACTCTGTGTTTCAGAAAAATATTGAAACCAGCTTATTTATGTCTTCGTCTTGAGTATCTCGCCTTTCTTATTTTAGATTAGTTTAGGAAAATAATGCCAGCTTTTCATAATTATGCTGGAAAGAGGAAGTAACGGTGAAACTTGAATCGCCGCACCTCCTTTCTTACGCGTAGGTGTGATATTCTACAGTTGTAGACTATTAAAATCGAACCGTGCATTTGATCTGCTTTGGCTTGTCATTTCTTTCAAATGTTACCCGAGAGAGACTGGTCGCACGAACTGCACAGTGTGTACCTATCTGAGACTACCACTGTCAATATTTTATATCTGAGTTTATCAAACAAAGTGCAATGGCCTGCACAGAAGTTCCTTACGAAATCCTCAGCGAAACGGACTTACGAAATTGGCAATATAGAACGTTTGCTTTCATGATGAAATGTTAAAAAAACTAAACTAAGAAACCTGGACATGAATCTTTCAACGTGCGGTTTATTGCTGACATAGTAGAGTATTGACACAACGGATCAGCTTTTAGGCGAATTGTAAAAAAATAGAAAAGGAACAGAAGGCAATTCTTGTAAGGTTTTGTGTCCATTTTGAACGTCGCCTGCACTGGCTTGCTTCAGTTATAAACATAGATTGTTCTGTCTCATTTTTGTACCACAGTGGGAATACAAGTGTGGGGAATGAACGATTACTATCATCAGTCCTATATGCGAAACCACTGTTTTTCTTCAGCGAGTTTACGGTAACAGCAGCAGTAACGCCAGCCCATATAAACAGCTTCAGTTTTCTATTGCCTAACAGTACGATGAATGGCGTCAGTGGGTCAAACGCGCTTTCTTTATCCAAGAAGTGTTTAGTAATCAAGAGCACCAGGTTCCTTCTCTTACATTTTGTTGATGGTGTGGGTTACCTGATCGCATTCGTGAAACACCTATGGGCTTGCTTCACTAGCCACTGACGCAAGTCTCCATTCGTTCTACCAGTATAACTGTCACGGCAACTACAGTTGAAGTAGTAAATGGTTCAAAACGCAGACCAGTCCGTCGAATCAAGATCAGAAGTGTAAACATCCGAAAGCTGTTGCATTCAAAGGGCTTAATACAAATAAACTAGACTTCTAGTCACCTAGGCTGGTACACATGTCCAGTGGATACTGTATACAATTGGAGTACACGTCACTTTCACAGCAAAATACTCATATCAAAAATGATCGACTGAACAGTTTACCTACCTTCAGTTTATGGATTTGAACCCCAGGTTTCAGATGGTGCTTTCCATCCTGTAAACGTAAATATCAAAGTAACCAGATGGAATTGCATGATATCCAATGAATTAGAAAACATTGAGAGCTGGCCAGATAAGGGTGTCGAAAATGTTGTGTCCAACAAACAAAAACTCTGGTTTCTTTAATTTCTTTTCAGCAGAACAAGAATGAAGTGTCTTACAGACACATTACTCCTGAAATGGAGGTTCGTTACAAATGTTACGAGAATCTGTTTAACTTGGCAGTTGCCGACATGGAACAAGTTTGTAACTTACCTGTGATGTGAACAGCAAAATGACCTGTTTTGCACTTCAGAAATAACACTATAATCAAGAGTTTCCAATGATATCTTTATCTGACAAACAGATGTACATGCTTCAATAACTTTTGCAATGAATTGATATTGGAATAACCTCAGTCATTCAATGCCACCGCCTGTGAATTACCAGCCGGACTGGGAATGATCAGCGCCAGTGAATCAGGAAAGCGAGCAAATGCTACATTGTGATTTGAACCATTTTTTAAACGTACGTAAGTAAAAAACAAAAAATGACCTAATCAATATTGTGGATGAACGTGGTCTGCTGTTCAACGTGAACTTACACTTGCTGTAAAAACATTGATGTCAATCTATAACGAGCGTCTTACCGGTGAGTTGTCGGTTTTCTGATGTTTTCACGTTCCGACCCAGTCCTGGAAACAGTAAGTACTGGGTGGTTTACCACAAACAACTGATTACATTAAGTTTACAGGCTGAGTTGTCTGTTCTTGAACAATGGGTGTTTTCTACGTAACTGCATGCTGTTAAAACTTGGAGTATACAGACCGCATTGTTGTGCATTAGTCCACATGATCCGGAGAACACAATTTTGTGTGGCTTCGAGTCTGTACGATCAAGAT